CCTAACCTACTTCTAACTACTGCACCTGAAAGTATAAATTCAGCTTATGATTTTTTATGATAATATAGTGAAATATTTAAATGCATTCCCAGTGTTCCCTATTAATAAACCCTCTAACTACGTATAAAACAAAACTAAACGCTGTACTAATACTACCTCCTTGTAATATGTTATAATAAAGAGTTCATTATCAGCATGAAACGATTATACCATACACAGCTTAAATGACATATACATAAACACCATAAAACATAAAGTTATGTAAATAAATGCTAAAACTGAAAAGTTAGCCCGCATCCAGTTTATCAGTGTCCTTAGTGTAAGTGACCAGTGAAAAAATGGCTAAGCAATTCTTATATCATGGTGATGTCACTATCTCCTCCCACCCTATGAGATTTGTCAAATTATGCCTTCTTCAAGAGTGGTAGAAATGAAGGAAGGCATATACTGATGACGTCAGATCACATCTAACTTAATAAACCTAGACATAGAATACTGCAGCCCTGCCTAGGACCACCAATTTTCATCCAATACAGGCTTGATCACAGAGATAGAAGGAGCAGGGAGGAAAAGCTCCTTTTTGCAGTTTATAATCAATGCAGCTTAAGTCTTTAAGGGATACATACCACATAAACCATAAAATCAAGTCACACTACTTGACACGCTACATAATACTCAAACTAATATAAAGTTGTAATTGCATATCCCAACACAAAGTTCAATGCACATTGAAACATTCTATCAATAACAAAAAAACTCCCAACATCCTAAAATGTATTTGAAAATCTTGAAAACTTAAAAAATTAACCACCAATAAAAACAACTCTAACTAAGCGCATAGGTAAGAATAAACATATTTGATATGTTTTTTTTCAATTTATATGTATCTACAAAAGATCAGAAGCTGAATAAGAAAACACCTCTGAGGGGAATAAAGGTGTAAGGGAAGGGGGGAAGATAAATGGGAAGGGTGGGGAGGAACAAAAGAACAAAAAGAGGCGGGGGATTTTCTCACAGGCTTGGAGCAGTAACATCACGCTTCATTCCTCAGGATCTGTGTTTGCTTCATTGCTACAGTTATCTTATATACCACGTTTACTTTCTCCCTCAAGTTAACCTTTACTACTATCACCCATCAGTAGGTATCATCCTCTAACCAATAAATATTAATACATATAAAGAATAAAACTGTACGATGCCTACCTAGATGAGACATCCATACACAGTATATTACCATTACATAAATCATAATGTACTATGTGATAAACCCTGTAAAGTACTTGCCATACAATTCAAAAAAATATTGTAAAAACCTTTTTCATTAAAGTGACACTAAACGCAGGAGTTAAATCTTAAACATATATTCAAATACCTTGGCTATTAACAATACTGTACCTTATTTGTGTATCACTTGGCTGTAGAGCCTCAAATCATCTCTGAATTGGTGCTTCCCTATGTAGGGTGACTACTTTTGTTCCCCATGGTCCCTGTGTGTGTTGTAAAGTAGTCCCCGCTCCAAGATCGCTCCTGTGATGGAGTACCAATTAGTAAACTAAATGTGAGATTGTAGTCCATCACGGAAGGGAACTTGGAGTGGTGGCTACTTTACAACACACACAGGGACCATGGGGAACAAAAGTAGCCACGCTCCAAGAGGAAGGACAGTGTAAGCATGAATTCAGAGATGATTTGATAATCTACAGCTGAGTGGTGCAAAAATAAGCTACATTTTTGTTAAAAGTTAAAGTACTTAAATGCATTTTTAAGATTTAATGCCTGAGTATAGTGTCACTTTAATATGTGGAGCTCTTTATAACTTACCATCATAGGCATTTATAACTGAAATGAAAAAAATTATATTGTGCAGTTGCATGCTACACTGAGTGCAGGGAAAACTTCAGTATAAGAGTAACTGCACCAAAGGGCTTTGTAACACTTTAAAGGCTTCTTGGTAAAAATGTCAATTCTTGGCATTTACCAAAAAATCATTTTTTCTTTTACATTTATTATATAGCAACATGCATCAAAAGCCAAAGCTTGTGAATCGTGTTGATTTATGTAAATAAAAGACAAGACTATTACTATAACAAGGTGTGCTGGTTAAGATTCTTATTTCCTAATGATTGTATGGCAGCACCTGCATAAACTGTGGGCAAGTCTGTAGACATTAATACATAAATTATTACATTTATTTTCTATGCGACTGGTGTAAGTACCTGAATTTAAATTCGTATCAGCCTCTTAAATAAATCCATAAGCACTCACTGGAAGAGAGAGGAGTAAGGACTAGGGTCAATCAAGTGTGCTGAATGCAAATGTTCTGGCAAGAAATATACTTATAGCAGAAGACTATGAAGACTAGGGGGTCTATTCACGAAGCTGCCGAGGGCAGCCGAGTGAATGACCGATCTGAAGTGAAGTGAGCCAAACACTGTTCGGCTATTCACTTCAGGCTGGTACGGCTGATTTCAGCCGTACATCTGCTGAAATCAGCCATACATCTGCTGAAATCAGCCATACATCGGCTTGCCTCGAGTGGCTTCGGGTCGGCCGAACATGCTCAGGCCAACCCGAAGTGCAGAAGGAGTTCGACTCAGCCGATCCAACATCTGGATCGGCTGAGCCGAACCTCCGGCAGGCTTCTCACTGCTGTTCGGGCTATTCTTAAAGATGCCGAACAGCAGTGAGTGAATAGCCGAATGCCGCTGAGCGGCATTCGTCTCGGCTGTTCTGCTCAGTCCCTCAGAGGGGTCGAGCAGGATAGAAAAAGAGTGAAAAAAGTAAAAAAAGTAAATAGAAAACGATTGTGCGGAGCTAGCAGTGACAGCTAGCTCCACCCAATAGTTGCCAGCCGTAAGATCCCGGCTGGCTCCGCCCAGCTGTCAGAAGCAGGCTGTCGGCCGGCCGCTCGGCCAGCTACGGCTTTCAGCACGGCTCAGCCGAGCCGCTCGACCACGATCGGGAGCTGTACCAGCTATTGTGAATACCCTGTACAGCACCCCTTCGATTCTGTGAAACCGAAGGGGTCCTGGGGCCGAAGCTAGCCGAAGGATCGGCCGAAGCTACGGCCAGATCCTTCGGCAGCTTTGTGAATAGACCCCTAAAAGTTACTATGTAACTGTGTAAGAACAGGGGGATGATCTCACAAATCTGTGGATGCTCTATCACTAGCCAGTTAATGTGCTGTAAATGGTGAGAGTATGTCACTGTATTCCTTTTACAGTCTATGGCTGTAACAGAGGTGTCATCTGCCTTTCTATACTGTGAAAGAGCTATGGTAATTTCAGAACTAGATGGAAAGAAATCCATATTCTTTGGCAGGTAAAACAGCTTTCTACCATATAATTCACCTGTGCATCTTTCTTTCTAGCTATAAACTAACACAAAATACAGCATGAAGCGGGAGACTCCTTAATAATATTCTTGGCAGGTAAGTACACCAGGAAGATGCCGAGATTGTAATCTAGAGCCCTCTGGGAATTCCCATGGAAATTGTTGATATTTTATGTATATGTTTCAATATATTTCAACAGGCAAACATTAGATCTTGATTCATATAGTGCCTTCAGATCAGGGTGATATACTTGAGCAAATTACATTTATAAGTCTATTATAACTCTCTATAACTATCTATAACTCTCTATCTATCTGCTGACTGTAACTAACTATACTAGAACCCTCTCTATCTCCTACAGCACACTACATGGGGCCGCGGTGTCAGCAGCCTTATATAGTGTGCTGCAGGGACTTAGCTGTGAGACATGATTGGGCAGAGTCATCGTGACTCTGCCCAATCATGGCTCTACATTTGTACTGAGCCCTGATTGGCACAGTCTTGCACCTGACCTGCGGTCAGGTGCAGGACTGTAGCCAATTACCTTTTCGGACGGCACAGTGCATTGTGGGATGTGCCGGGGTCGAACAGACCGCGGACATCCCATAATGTTCGGCGTTCGGCGAACGCTAGAACATGCAATGTTCGAGTCGAACCTATGGTCGACTCGGACATGCAGCCCATCCTTACTCACAGGCATCAAGTAGATTATACATTCTACATCATATCAATGTGTGCTTAATGAGAATTTGAGGTAATCTGACCAAAGGTTGAAGCAGAAATTATTCTTTTAACAATATAATAATCTAAAACACAGTAAAAAACACTATTAAATCCACTAAGGAATGGCTAAAAATGAAGATATAGAGGGTTATGGACTGCCCTGGTCTGAGCCTTGATTTGATTCACATTGCAACCCCCAAAACATCTGAAGTCATTTTAACTAGCCGAGTGGTCAAAAAATGGTCAGTCACTGGTAGGCAGTTATACAAAATGCCTGCAAGAAGTCATTGCTGCTACAGGGGGCAATACCAGTTTTTGATGCTAAGAGTATACTTTATTTTCCCACAGCACACAAATACTGTACATCTATTGATATGTTGTTGAGTAAATAAATGAAAAGGCAAAATTGCCTTCTGTTACTGTTCAAGTATATCAACTTTATCGGTAGGCAATGTTTGAATAATTGGACTAATGTTTTTGTGTTCAAATATGTTGAAAAGTCAACAATTTCCATAGGGTGTACCTAATTTTTTCACATGACTGTAATTTCATTTGTCAGCATCTAAGTAATACTGAAAAATTACTTTCTGGTGCTTTGACCCTTACCATTATATTCATCTCTTTATATCAATCTTTGTTCCTCTAGAATGTTAAAATATGCATTACATTAAAGACCACTTGTCACTAACATCTTCAAAATACAATACACTGAAGATACAATAGACTCTAGACAAAAAGTACAAAGATTTGAAGGGCATCTCATAGATTTAATAGATCTACCGAAGAAAATGTACTATTAAACAAGACACATCTTGAATTACGAAATATGCTTGATAATTACATTTTCAGAACTTTGGTAAGTGTCAGTAGTAAGTGTTCTTTTTTAAATGACATGCACAATGCAGAAAGTTAAACCTGTTCATACAGAATTTCAATCTCTTACCTGTCAATGCTGATGGCACAGAGATTAAGGATACTTGCTGTACACATCATAACATCAAGGGTGACAAAGATATCACAGTGGATCCGACTAAACCGCCACTCGCCAACCACCTAGGAAGTAGAAAGAGACGGCAGAACAGAAAATCAATAGTGTAGATGTGTATCTCATAAAAGAGAATTAACTTGCCAAGAGGCTGAAAAACTGTAAGAGGTTTATATGGTACATTAATACCGGCAACAGATGTGTGAAAAGATAACAAAAGAGATAGTGTGCTATAAAAGGATATTTTCTCTATGTGATATAATAAATGATTTGTCATAGGCATTGAGGTGACAGCAAAGTTAAGTATTAGGAGAAAATGAACATGGTCACTTTAAATTTAATGGGACCTGGTCAGGTTGTTCTTTTTTAACTTAACAAAAGGCATGCCTACTTTGATTACTACATTTCTCTAGCACAGGCAATGTTGTGAAAGTTAAATTGGAGAATTTAAAAACGTCATATACTACTACAATTTGGTTGAAACTCTACTATTAAAGTATATAACTGGGCAAATACAATTTAAAAAATTATTTCTATAAAATAAATACAAGTCTCACCATTGTTTTCTCTTTAAAAACACTGCAAGTACCAACAAATACCTATTGATCCTGCCAGAAATACATTGAGCTCCTAACTTATTGTAGTGAGCTGACAATGCTGCTACTTTTGTGCTGAAATTTCAAGCAGTGCTGTCAGCCCTGCCCCAGTTCTCTCCATAACATATGAGGAGAGTGTTCTTTAGTCCAGCAAGGGACTCAAGCAGGACTGCCAACACTGTCCAGGATTTCAATGCAGCGGAAGCATAGTGTTCAGCTCACTACAGTAAGTTGGGATCTTACTGGATTTCTTGCAAGATCAACAAGTATTTTTCTGTACAGTGCATTGTGCAGTGTTTTTCAAAAACAAAATGATGAAATGTGCCATGCATTGCAGATATGTACTTGATTTTTTTTTGCCCTGACATATACTTCATATTCTCATTCATTCAATAGCCTGGTTCAGCTACATGCTACTTCCACTATTAGTAAGTGCCATTTTACTGCTATCTTTTAAATGGTTTTACAATACTAAAAATGCAGTGGGGCAACTGATACTTCATGGTGTGGGGGTGGGGGTAGTTTAGAGACAGGATTTTCCTGTTAGGATTCCTCAGATAAATAAATGGGTAATTTAAGCAAAATATCTCTTCTTTAAATAATACATCTTCCATCAACAAATTAAATGTACAGCTTAGTAGTTTTATTAGTATCTACAAGAACATATATTAGTTTTAGCTGAGAATTAAAATATTGCTGAGGTTTCACAATCATTGTCTTGCCTTGCTTCCAGTTAAAAAGGTAATGTTTCTGTATGAAGGAAAAATAGATACAGGATAAAGAAGAAAACAATTAGTTTTTTACTGGACAATCTACTTGTTTCCTCAATGAATAATAATAAAACACATTCAGAATAGAGAATTACATCAAAAACTACTGTACATGTGCCATATTAACATCATAAAGATTGCTCTCAACAAGCAAAATGTATATTTGGTAATAAAGTAGTAGGTTGTTAGCATGTTCGATGAGTGCAGAAATACATATCTAAAATACAGTGTCCAGAACAAGGGATGGTTCATTCCTTTGAGCAGATTGCAGGACCTTTTTATAGATTCTACACAGATCTCTAAAATTTAAATCATTTGAAAAGCAATAGGGGAGAAAAGGAGGAATATTCTTCTTGAGTAGAATATATAAAGCAGACAGCCCTACCCATGATGGGGCCAGGTGTAAATGAATCACTGGGTATACCCTTTATGCATCAGCAAATTGTAAAGGCAATACTCTCAATGCTCTTGGTCCAGATGGGTTCACAGTGGCTTTTTATAAGCATTTTAAAGAGGAATTGGCACTGATTCTGCGTACCACTTTTAAAGTAATCTGTGGTACTTGTGAATTTCCACAAGAGTCAAGAAGCATATATTACTCTTATATCTAAGGAGCCCGGATGAGCCCACACAGTTTGTGAGCTAAAGGCCTATCTCTTTGATAAACATTGATCTTAAAATTTATGCAAAGGTTTTGGTTTCCTTGATCCATCCAGAACAGGTAGGGTTTGTCCCTGGACGTGAGGCCAGGGACAACACTACCAAAACGATGTCTCTTATTCACCAATCGCAAAGTTGTGGGCTTTCTCTGTGTCTATTGTCATTGCGGGAACTAAATACATTTGGCCAACTGAATAATTATTAGGAAAATGCCAGTAAATTACAATGTCTTGATGTCTCTCTGGCTCAGGGGGAACATGAATTTCTAAATTCTAGTGTTCCCTTTTGCTGGACATCAGATGCCCCTAGGTATTTGGGTGTGTACATACCCGCAGACTTAAAGAAAGTGTATGGCCTAATTACCTACCACATTTGGAATCAACGCAAACATTCTTGTGTAGGGAAGATGACATTATTTAAAATGGATGTACTCCCCTGATTTCTTTACGTATTCCAGATGGTACCGAAGAGGGTCCCTTGTCAATTTTTTCGCAGGTTACGGACACTCCTTCTCCAATATATATGGGGGTCTTCAGCAGCATGACAGATATGGTATCTTGGTTGAACAAAAGTTAGATGGTGGAGTGGGGCTGCCGCACATGGAGTTATATTTTAAGGCGACAGTTCTTAATCAGATGGTGCATTGGTTTTCCCCATCGCAGTACGAGCTCTGGGTAAATATTGAATAATCTAGCGTGCCAATGCTGCTGACTTCTTTACCTTGGATTAGGCCCTCAAAGAGGCCACACATTTGGAATGTGTCCCCTTTAGTTACATTGAAAGTAACATTGAAAGTGTGAAATGTAATGGTTCTAAAACATCAGGTTTCCTCCTATGTGGGCCAACTAATTACCACAAGACATTGAGAACAGAAGGTTCTTGAAGTGGGAAACATTAAGGCCCTCACCTATAATACAGGCTGTCAATGCCTCTGGAGTGCTTACCATAGTTGATTTGCTCCCTTTGGGGTTTTTAAGCATTGGAAAGCGGTATCAGTACCTACAACATAACATAAACAGTTTTATTTCTATCTCCAGTCACAAGGTGGGATATTTAGGAATATAACATTATTTGAAGATGTCTGCCTGAATACAGCAGGGAGTAAGCATGTTGTTTCAAGAGTGTATCACATTTTGCTAATGCATGTGTTACTGGCCCACCCTTATTATATCAGGAAATGGGAACGAGAACTGGGGTATTCAATATTGGAGGGGGAGTGGGATAAAGCTTTTTACCTGACTTTTAAGTCAAGTGTAGTGGCAAAAACGCAGGAAAGAAATTTCAATATACATACAGTATACAGTCAATTTCCTCAAGATTGTACATATTAATTCCTGCAGTCTCCCCCAATATGTTTTATCCCTCAGACCTTTCATCTTTTTTGTTGCCCATCTCTTGACTCGCTCTATATTATCAATAAAAACGTATCAGAAAAACAGTCAGGCAACTAGAAATTTCAGATATTGAGGTCAGCAGTGACAGCCTGCATGCTTCGGTCAATCACAGGTTTCTTTGTTTATGCATCTTTCACAGTTACTTCCTCTTGTTTTAACTTCTGCCACCTTTTTTCACTTTAGCTGCAGGTCTTAGTTGGAGGTCTTCTTCTCCCTCCCCTTGCATTGGTTTCCATTCTTGAGCCACAAAACTCCTTAGACAGTAATCTCTATACTCCTCTCCTTGTTCTCTGATCATATCAACCACTATGACATAACGATCTTCCTGTCTTTTAATCTGATGTTGCTTCTGTTGCTGCTCTGTATCGATTTTGTATTTCACTTCCTTTTTCCAGTTACCTGTTAAATCTGTGTCAATGTCCCTATTGCATTTTTATACTATGTTGTGCCTCTAGCTATTGCTTTTCTATGCACACTATATTATTTGTGCCCATTTTCTTCTTTTGTCCTGGCATGGACCACTCATGACCTTTCTCAGCCAATCAATAATTTCTACCTCCTACCTGTCCTCCCTACAGCAGCCCAGTGCTAGGCTATGGAACCCCTTTCTGACCTCACTATGTCGCTTTGAAGAAAGGACTCTGCGTGGCCCCGAAATGTCAGCATATAGACACTTGTGACATGTTTCTTCAATAAACAAGCAAAAGATTGTATGCTTTTGACTGAGTGCTGGTGATATCCACCTTCTATGATTTTGGAAAACACGGCACTAACCATTTCATGACTACGAGAACCACGACCACTAATCAAGGTCCAATCACTGTAAGGAATGCAGGTGAAACATCATAATACTACAAAACACAAAAAATCCCCAGCTTCATGATTGACGCAGGATTACATCAATGGAGCCTTTTTTTATATATTAAAGGAATAGTCAAAAACGGCATGTTTGGTTTTCTTCAAATAAAGGATTTTATCAAAAGTCTTGTGACTTAATATTTGATTTAACCCTTCAGTGAATGGGTAGGGGTACAAGTACCCCTTACTCATTCACAAGGGGGGGGGGG